GAAACAAAAATGGGGAATGCTACGTTGTTAGAGGCTCTTCTGATTGATGAACAGAACATTGGCCACGTCTGCAACATTTTCTGAACACCCCAGTATCACACCATTGATTTGTATTCTTAAGATACTACCATGTACTTCTGTTGCTTTTGCCTGGTGTTCTTATTTTTGATACTATCTGAATGAGGAAGCTCAAGAAGATGATTATTTTTTCTTTTGAAAAAACACAGATTGACTATGATCTCTTATTTTTATATAAAAAGTTTTAATTTTTTTAAATCTTAGAATTAAAAAATAAATAAATTTTATGAAGTAATTAATTTATACACATTAATCTTAAAATTACTAGAATTAAAATTATGCATATAAAAAGCTAACTATAAAGTCTTGAAATTTTCCTTCCCATGGTGTCTGAATACAAAATCAATCAGGCTATGGTAAGTCCATCTTGTCGATTCTGTAACTTTAGGGTCAAGAGTTTTGTATGCCTCTTCAAAGCTCCTTAAAAAGCAACCCTTTCCAAAAGCAGCAAGAACAATAGGATCGGTTTTCATTTCCACCTCTCTGTAAAGAAGACCTCTCCTTCTCCAAGTTTCCAAAGTTGCAGTCCCATCAAAGTTGATCTTATTTGCATCAAACAGAGTCGAAATGGTGATTACATCAGGTTTCACGTCTCGGGCAGACAATTCAGAGAGAATTATCCTCGTGTGCTTGAAATCCTTCATTTTCAAGTAAGCCAGAAGGCTAATGTTGCCAATTGTTACGCTCCATGGAACTTTTCCTTCTTCCATCTCCTCAACAATGGAATCCATTCCTTTTCGACTCAAAATGCAGGCTTGTGAAAGTAAGCGCAGGCACCAAACAAGATCAGTCTTGACACCTATGGAGAGAAGATGAAGCCCCAGATCATCTAATCTCGAAAACATGTAGTTCTTAATATAAACTGTAGATAATTTCCTAACCAAGTCCTCCTTCAATATGATTTTCGAGTTTGAAACCCTCTTATACATCTTCTCCATCTTGTCTAATACCCCAAAGTTTGCATAAGCTTCTAGCATTGCTACCAAAGATGATGAATTCAAATTCATCCTCTTCGATCTCATTCTCTGATACACACTCTCCATTCTTTGGAGCAACCCACCACGCGAAAGCTCCTGAATAAGCAAATTACAAGTTATTTGGTCGGGTGAACAACAATCCAACTCCATCCTCTTCAAGCACAGACCAATCTCATCATACATTCTATATTTCCCATAAGCCTCAATCAGCCCATCATATGTACGACTTCCTGGTGACAAATCGATTTCTTTCATCTCACTGAGGAAACCGATAGCCTCCTTAAAATTTTGGTTCTTGGCATAACCATGAATAATGGAATTATAAATTTCTGAAGAAGGAGTGAGGTTATGAGCCTTCATCTCCCCAAGTGCTTGAGTGGCTTCTTCCATTTTTCCTTCTTTACATAGTAACCCTACAATCTCTTCATAGTTGAATTCATTAATTCTTGACTTCTCCTTTTCCTTCCACATATCAAACACCTAACAAAATTGAGAATAAGTGTTCGAGATTTTCATTTTTGTCAGAAGATAGCAATAATTCCAGAATGCTAATAAGAAAGTTCCAGAAATGTTAAGGCTATGTTTGGAACAAATTGAGAATTTTATAACATTCATTTGAAAAGCCACTATTAGTTTAACTAGGAGTGAGATAAAATTTTAGTTGAAATCATAAAACATCAGTTCATTGAGAATTCCAACTGAAATCAAAGCAATATATTTAAACTCCATCAAATTCAACTGAGTTTGGAATAAATTTTTCTGATTCCATTTAAAAATTCTCTAGTTGGACATTTGTTATTTTCTTTAGTAAAATTTTCTTTCACTATCAGTTAAACTAACTTGAATTTCCAAATAAATTCCTCAAGAATTCTTGATCTGTTCCAAACATAGCCTAACGAGTTTCTTCAGCGAGAAACGTACCGGAAGAATCTCGTTTGATCTCGAAGAATTTCTGAGAAATCTAACAACAACCCAGAACTGGTCTTTGCTCCAATCCCCATCTTCTTCAAGGATTTGCATAGGGCACGAGTCCTTCCGCCCAAGCCTCTCCAGCAAGCCTCTGAGATTCCGGTGCTCATGGTAGGCTTCGACAAGCAGAGTGGCGTGACTTGCGTCCAGGGACGGCGGAGATAAGCGGAGAGAGGAGCAGAGACAGAAATCGGTGAGGAATTTGGGTTTGGTGAATCGGGGTTTTGAGAAGAAGACGGCTTTATTGGGCGAGTTGATGCTGGTAGATTTACATGGCGGTGGCGTTAACCTGAAGCGGAAACGAAGGCTCAGAACATTCTCCATGCAATTCTTAATCTGTTGAATCTGTCCCCATTTCCGCAGCAGGGGAGAACGTTGAAGCCATAAAGTGATTAAAAAGGAGGGTTTCTTGTGTACGTATAATTTTAATCTTGGCAATTTTAAGATTAAATGTGTATTAATTAATTGATTAAATTTAAAGAATTTTTTAATTCTAACATTTAAAAAGATTAAAACTTTTTATGTAAAAATAAGATATCATAGTTAAAACCTGTCCTTCAAAAGAAAAAATAATCATCTCCAAAAGCTTCCCCCGGTCAAAGCAACACAAGTACATAATGGTATTTTAATAATGCAAATCAATGATATGATACCGGTGTATAGAAGAAAATGTTGCAGACAGGGGCAATGTTCCGTTCATCAATCAGAAGAGCCTCTAACAAAGTAGCATCCCCCATTTTTGTTTCTAAATTTCTATACATTCATAATCCCATCCTAGTTCCTTGATGAGCAGCACACGAATTGTACCCAGTACGATCTCCCCTTCACTTTCCTCTTCTCTCTTTTTATGTCTGTCGGATACCTTGCTGGAGAATTCCACTCCTCCCCTACCATTTCTCGCTTCCCAGGCTCAGCAGAGGACTCACGACCCATGATTGATATCACTTTTGGGGCGGAGAGACTGGTGGCCTCTCTGGCTGAATCTTCTCCTTTTTGAATCAACGGAACTCTATATTCCATCATATCCAGTGATCTTGGTCTGGCTTCGTTACTGGCCTCACCTAAAAGATTCTTCAGGGGAGCATGGTGCTTCCCCGTGCTCCAGTTTGTTACCTTGGCAATGATCTCTTCGTTCTTTTTTCTCCCTTGTGACTCATTCACAACGTTCGTAAGAGAAGGGAACCAACCCGCTTGCAAAACTGAAGCTTTTGGCTGGTGTGGTTTCTGATCTGCTTGCATTTCAGAACCAGCTACTTTATGGTGATCCTCACCGCGAGGTTCAACCAATGTCATGAAGGAGGGTGGTTCAAATACATCCGATTTGTCACTTTGTTGTCCCTCATATCCGCCTTTTGGCTTCTCCGAGTTTGCTTTCTCAGTTTCAGCATCAATGGCAGTCAGTGTATCCGATTGCAATGAAAGCACTGTTCACAGTTTAAGAGAGTAAAAAGCATGATGTACAAAATATGAATTTGCAAATGAATTCCACAAGAAATGTCTAAAATTGTTCCTAACATAGCCTTTTGTAATTAAAATGAAACTACAATGCAAGAAATTCAAGGAACTTGTATAAACTTTCAGTGCCTTCATCAACATACTCCCGGGTAAACATGTGTAAAGGACCAACAGTAAATTAGGAAAATAGAAAAATAATATGCAAGAGTAAAAATGGTAAGTTTATACGAGGGTAGTTTTGTCCTTTTTATCGTAATAAATTAGGAGAGGAAGATTCGGGATCATCATATCCAGCAGTTACAAATTCCTACTCTATAATCTATATTAAAGCATGTACTCAAAAAAGTATGGAAACGGAAAATTATTGAAATCAGAATATATTTTCTCTCTCAAAATCTCGCTAATTCTCGACTTTCTCTCTTCTTTCTCTCTCTTTCCTCTCTTCTCTTTTCTCAGATCAGAAACCATGAGTAAGACTTCTGACAACATGCAACATAGTTCTGTATCCTAGCAGTTGAAAAATACTAATTAACTTAAAAAGAAGTCTAAATATCATCTTGAAAATTTACTCAATATAGATTCTAGATCATTTACCCTCTTCGAGTCTTGACTAATCCTCAATGCTATATGCAGCTACTTTGAAAATAAAAACGGAAAATGTACCTGAAACCGATCCCCAGTTGGCTTCTACACTATCAGTTTGGCTATTTGAGTCAATTGAAAGGTCAGTTGGGTATGTGCCATGTTGATATTTAAAAAATCCATTATCGTCCTTGCACTGTGTGGGCTGTGAACAGAACCCAAAAGCATCCCCTCCAAATTCTCTGGTACGGTTATCTTCAACAGCTGCAGAACTTGAAATAGAAGGTTCGGCATCAGAAGAAAAAAGACGTGGTCCTTTAGTCATTGCCTCTGCATGAGATTTCTGTAATAAATCATCTTCATGACAACGTAATTCAGTTGCCATGTTGATAAAATCTGCATTCGCTTGGTCTCTTCCCTTGCTGTCAACTAGATCTTCTCTGAAATCCAGTGTGATGTCTGAAACTCCATCCAAATCCTCAGGTACTGTTTGACTTTTAACCCTGGCCACATCACTTTTTTCAATCATATACTTTCCACAATCACCAGCATCATCCCCATTATTGACATTGAGCATGTCTGATGATGGATTAACTTCAGACAAAGAGAGACTACAAGAAATTTTGCTTTCTGCACCAGTTTCCCCTTCAAATGTCTTGCCATCATCATGTTTAACAGTATCACATATTTCAACCCCAGCCATTTCATGACTTCCAGAATTATCAGTGTTTGGAAAGTTGGTTATAAGGTTGACTTCTGCACCTGTATCAGGTAAAACTTCCATGACAGTTTCTGAGGAACCTTTCTGCAGCGAATTGTCACAAATATCATAAGTCTGCTGTCCTTCAAGCAAGCAAAGAATTTCCTTACCTTTCTTTATCTCAATTGTATAAGCATCGTCCTGGGCTGCTTCTTCATCTAATCCTTTAACCACACCGAGTTTTTTGACCATGAGATCGGCATTTCCACCTTCATGTTTATGGTCATTTTCCAACATAAGCATAACTGATGAAAAGACCTCATTGTCTTCACTTAGTTCTCCAGAGTGGACACAAGGAACATTCTCACCTTCAGGAGCTTTTGTTTCACCCTCTGAATCCTCGATTGTTTCACATGAATCTACTGATATAGACTGAGGCAACTCAACTCCCTTATGTTCTTTAAAGTCTTTAAGCAAGAGCTCATTGTGGTCAGCCACAGGAGCACCATTAGGAACAGAAAGAAGACTCATATTCTTATTCCCTTCTTTGTTCATAAGTTTGTCATTTGCACCTCCATTTTTATGGTCATCCTCAGAAACATGCATAACTGATGCAGAAACCTGAGAGCCTTCACTCGGTTCGCCAGAGTAGACACTACTAACATTCTCATTATTGGGTGCTTCTGCTTCACCTTTCCCATCCTTAATCGTTTCACATTCATCTACCGATAAAGACTGATCCAATTTCACTCGATTGTGGTCTTTGAAATCTTCAAGCATGAGCTCAGCATGATCAACCTCAGGAACATCATCAAGCACAGAAAGTACAATTACGTTCTTATTCCCTTCATTGGCCATATGATCATCATCTCCATGTTCATGTTTATGGCCATCTCCCACAACATGCATAACTGGTGCAGAGACCTTTGTGCCTTCGCTCGGTTTTCCATAGGGGACACTACTGACATTCTTGTTACCAGGTGCGTTTGTTGCCCATGAATCTAACAATAAAGATAGCCCCACTTTCTCCTTGTGGTCTATGAAGTTTTTAAGCATGAGTTCAGTATGGTCAGCCACAGGAACATCATAAGGCACAGAAAGCACAATTTCATTCTTATTCCCTTCGTTGACCACAAGCTTATCATTCCCACCTTCATGTTTATGGCCACCTTCCGAAACATGCAAAACTGATGCAGAGACCTCAGAGCTTTCACTCTGTTTTCCAGAGTAGACACTCGTGATGACCTTCTCATTATCAGGTGCATCTTTTCCCCCTTTTGTATACTCAATTGTTTCACATGAATCTACCAATAAAAACTGCTCCAATTTCACTCCCTTGTGGTTTTTAAAGTCCTCAAGCATGACCTCAGCATGGTCATCCACAGGAACATCATCAGGCACAGAAAGAACAATTACACTATCACTCCCCTCGTCGATCACTGGCTTGTCACTCCAACCTTCATGGTTATGGTCATATTCCAAACCATGCATACCCGATGAATAGACTCCAATTCCTTCACTTGGTCCTCCAAAGTGATAAATTGCACTCTCATTCCCCTCATTGACTACAGCCTTGTCATTCCCACCTTCATGTTTACAGTCATCTTCCAAAACATGCATACCAGAAGCAGAGACTTCGATATGCTCACTCAGTTCTCCAGAGTGAATATTAGTACCATTCTCATTATTGGGATTTTTAGTTTCACCTCCTTCATCCCTGATTGTTTCACACGAATCTACTAATAAAGACTTACATAATTTCACTCCCTTATGGTCTTCAAAGTCTTCAACCATAAGGCCAGCTTGGTCGACCACAGGTACATCATCAGGCACAGAAAGCATGATTACATTTTCATTTGCTTCTTTATTTCCATTGTAACCCTCAATTGAATTAATCGAAGTGGAAAAGTCGGTTCCTGGAGCTTCATATGTCATAGTTTGGGCAGCATCAATCAAAGTATTTGCATGATCTACATGCTCCTTATTTGATCTAATACATTCATCAATCGACACAGAATCTGAGGTTATCTCCTTTGCCTTCTCTGACACTACCTCAGAGGGGACAACATCCACTTGGCAACTTTCTAGCTTGATATCTTCATTTTCTCTTGAATCAGTCTCTATCCCCACAAATGTAGTTGTGCTTTCTGTACAACCAGAATCAAACCTCTTAATTTGTTGTGATGTATCTGCCGGAATTTCAGATTTGAACAGGTATAAGTCACATATAGAACCATTTCGACCATCTCTAGACATCACCCATCAGACAGAACGTATATTAGTATGAACTATAATTGGAAACAGACTCTACCAATTCCAAATAGTTTACAATTTCAAAGAAGAAAAAATATTGGTTGACTATATATCTGTTAGACCTCACAATATGAGATGCAGAAACAATGTTTTACAAAATGAAAACCTTAAATTTCCAAAACCCTCTTTGGAGTTTCAATTGGTTGCAGCCTCACTGCAAAGTTATCAGTATACAATCACACCAGCAAAATAATATGAACATTTACTTCTTTCAACAAGTAAGCATCATATTTATTCATGAAGACTTTAGGTGTCAATTGGCATTCTAAATATGAAAGCATTATCAATCAAAAAAACATAACAACATAGTAATATATAATATCTTGTTGGCTCAAAGATCAATTAGGACCTACCAATATCCTCAAGAGATTGTACAGCATCCTGATCATTCTTAGCACTTCTTTCCACTGCTAGTTCTGTATTCCCCTTCGTTTTTTCTTCAACACCGGGAGAAAATTCCACAACTGAATCTCTGAGTACTTCATCCAGCAATTTGTTCTGTGTTCCACCAGTTTCACTAATAGCCTTCACATTATTACTTTTATCCACAACTTTTGGACCTTTGAATGCCAAATTCACCAATGAAAATAAATTAATTCTACAAAATGACTTACTACAAAACTAAGTTAAGAACCAGATAAAAGTGCAAATTTTTATGTTCCTAAAAGAAGTTTTATGGAACTCAATGGAAAGACTTTTAATAGATTCACTGTTAATTCATTTTTTTATCAACTGAAATGGGATTTTCAGAGTATGAATTTCACAAAACCTCTTGATTTATTTCCAAAAAAAGTTCATATCTGTTATCATCTAACCTAACTCAACCGATCAGCTGTAACCAAGCTTAACTCCAAAGAAATTACCCAAGTCTCTAAAGGCCCAAATTTCCAGTTGCACCCACTCATTTTCTCTCTCCTTCTTTTCAAGCAAACAGAGCATATAAACTTTTATATTAACAAGAGCACTTACTAGGGGTTTTATAATCTTCATCAGAGAAGTGCTCATCGTCGGAAACAACTCCATGAGCACTTCCACCTTCCCCTGAGTCAACTCGCTGGTACCCTTTAGGTTTTCCACAGATCTTTTTATGCGCACGCCTTTGCTTTGCACTGGGATGCGAGTTAGCAAACGCCCAGCCGCATTTGCTGCAGACATGAACTCCATGGTTCTCACTCCCTACAAATGACGAGAAAATAAAGAAAAAGGCACCACCTTTCCATGAGAACTAAAAGTTATAAAAAAAAAAATCATCACACGACATAAAATTTCCAATAATGGAACCAGGAAACAAACAAATCCCGAGCAAGAAAACACAAGAACGTGGAATTACTAATGCCCGTCGCCGCGTGCAGAATCATCTATAGTTTTTGAGAGAAACAAGAAAACCAGGTATATGCATACATAGGTACATACATATATCTACATATTTATGTATGTAAAAATATATGGCTTACTATACGAATAAAGAATGAAAAAATGGTGAACCCATGAACAAAAAACCAAAATATAACAAAGAAATCAACCTGCAAAATGGTTCTTTCTCTGATCTTGGCCATCCATCTTAGAACAGTGACGAGTAGAGAGAGAAGAGGAGACAGAGCAGAAGGGTTTGATTAGATAGTTAAGCAAGTGGGATTAGGTGGAAAAGAAGCGAATGAGAGGGAGAAAGAAGAGCAGGTTTTTGAAGGCCAAGAAAATGGAGGTAACAGAAGGGTCCAGCCTTTAGCGAGTCCAGCGGGAATGCTCTTCTACTCTTAAAAAACACATGTACGGAATAGGGAAGGATGGTGACGATAACGGCTTATCTAGTACCCCATGTGCGCATGTTATACGGCGACACTGGCCTTTTTTTCTTCTTCTAATAATGAATTGTCTAAAAAGCACCATGTCATTGCTTTCAAGGGTTGTACCTCCATTATTTCTTGCCTTTTCTAAAAAAAAAAATTATTGTTCTCTAGAATTATCAAGGTATTAAATTATATGCTATTTAAGGCAATTAGGTAATTTTCTTTCAAAACAATGGCAATTAATCTTTTTCTATATTCATTTTTTAGATTTAAAATTTAAGTATTTAAGGTAAATCTTTTAATATGAAAATATATATCTTTGAAATTATTCAAAATTTCTTATTTGAATAAAAAATTAATATAAAAGTACTTGTACCCTTTTTTATAATTATTTCACACTATGTTTAAAATAAATATATGGTTATAAAATTATGTTTTATCTTTTAAATTTTGAATTTAAAATAAAATTATACTTTTATGTAAATGATTGAAATAATTCTTACTTTCCTTATAAATTTATAACCTCACAATTATGTATTTAAATTATTATAAATTTTTTAATTAGATTATTTTAAAAGTATTAAATAATTTGGGACTAAATTTTATGTAAATTAAACATTCATAATAATATTTTAAATTAGTTTCCAATATAACCCAAAATTATTGAAGTATAATTGTAACTAAATCTAAAATTTATTTGTTTTAAGCATAATTTTATGTAATTAATTTAAAATAGAACTCACTTGTTGAGAAATAAATAGCAATGATGATTAATTATTGTGGTAAATTATTTATCTAATATTATTTTGTACAACACTTTAATGCGTGAATGCTTATGAATTTGGTGTGCGAAGAGCTACCTAGGGCGCACATTAGTGCTCTGGTAACTAACGTTGATCGCCATTACGGTCTTAGACTTCCATTATGTTAAGGACATGATAGAATCACCGTGGGTGACAGAGACTCGAGAACCCCAAATCAGGAAAAAGCGGGTACCCTTTTCTTTTGGCTTTGGTCCAAATTCCAATGAAAAAACGCTGTTATGGAGATACGTTCCCCCACGACGGACGCAATCGCGTCTCCTTCGAACCCATTTTGGCTCTTTGATGTTTTTCGTCGTCGTTTTGTTGACAACAGCCACTTTGACCCGACCCAAAACGACACCGATGCGAGTACCCTCACCCGTTCATGCGTTTAACGTAATAAATATGTAATCTATCCATTTTTGTAATTTGAGTCATACTTATTGATTTTCATTAATTCAAAAAAAATATATTTAATTTATTAATAAATTATGTGACTATCTTGAAACCAACTGATTTTTTTTTTGGTCTATGAAATCAAAAGATTTATATCGCTTAATCTATAATAATTTATAGTTTAATTAATGGTAAGTTAAATTATTAATAAATTAACAACATAAAAATTATATACAACTTGAAATTAACTCAACAAAAGCATATAATTTCGGATAACTTAAAATTAACTCGACCCACTTAAATTATTCTCGATATTTAAATTTATTACATTAAAAATGTTGTCATGATTTATATATTTTAAAACAATTTAAATAAATTTTAAATCACAATAAAATACATAGATTGGATTTGATATTAAATTAACCGAAAGTTTAAAATTATATATTTTTAGTGGGTGTGGGTAAAAATAAAATAATAATAATTGTATAAAACTTTTCAATGACGCAATATTTTCAACGACTTTGGGTAAAAGATAAGACTTTGGTTGCTGCTTCCCATTAAAGCCTCTTTCATTACGTTTATGATGTGCAGACGTGTCCTCCTGCAATTTTTACTATTTACTCTTTTTCTGACTCCTACCACCTTCCAAGTACTTGCTTAATAAATGACGTAATATTTTTAATATATGAAATCTATGTTGTGAATTTGTATATTTACTTTAATTATTGTCTTATATAATATTTATACATTTTTTAAATATATTGTTTAAGCTTATTTTCGCTTATATATCCTTTGTTTTATATATTTAAATATTTAATTATTATATTTTAATTATTTTATGTGTCATAATTAATTATAATTTACTTACTTAATACATACTAAATGATTATTAGGTATCAATAGTGCAATTAAATTACTAGCGGGATCTTTTTTTTTTTTGTTTTACTAAACCATTACATAACTCTTATTACATATAATTTTTAAGTATAATTCGTGATAAATAGTTATTATTTATATATAAACAGTATAAATATTACATGTAATTATTTATTTTTTATAAAATAAAATATTATTATAATTGGTGAGTTACATGTTTTTTGAAATTTTTATATTCTAATAATAATTCAGGAGTTATATATTTTTTGAAATTTTTATATCTCAATACTCAAATATTTTTTTAGTATTATCTTAATTATTAAAATAAAATTTTTCGTAATAAACTTGAAGTTGTTATTTATAAATATTATGAATTCATTATTTGACATTGTAATTGATAGAATTTATCACAGTATACTGAAAAAAATAATCATATTTTTTAATAAAATAATTATTTTCAATCACTAAATTATCGACTTTTAGTTACTTCTAACTAATCATAAATAATATAATTTTTAAATAATTTATCTAACAAAATTATATAAACAATTAGACACTACGATACGTTTCAAACTTAATAAATTATAACGTGAATATCGTGTTATTTAATTACGTAAATAATTTGATGTGTATATTTTTTTTTTTTGTAGTCTTGTAATGATATAGATCCATTGTATTTAGAAATTTGGACCATCCATAATTCACATTTGTTAAATTACTTTTGCATGTTTAATAACCCAACCAGCATTGTATATAAAAAACATAATTATATATATATATATATATTGATAATAAGACTCGTGAATTAAATATTCACTTGACAATAAAATTCATGAATCATTTTGTGTTAGAGATGTATGTATCTTGTGTTAGATACATTATTTTATTCAACATTCCAAATAATCAATCATTATAAATAATTCTAATGGTAATAATTATCATTAATTGTGTGCACATAATATACAATGTACTTGGAATAAACAGTAAATAAACCTAAATAAATAAATCGTAATTATTAAGAAAAAAGCTTCGTGAAAATATAATCTACTTGCTAAAATATTAATTAGTAAGAATACAATTATTTTAACAATTTTAATTATATTATATTGTACCGTGTTTATTAGAATATCTATAAATTAATAAATTTTAAATATTTATTAAATAAAATTTAAAACATACCAATTGTATTTATAAAATCTAATAATTCATCATACGTCGTATAAAAAAAATAATTTAGAAAAAATTACATGTTTAGCGAGGAAAATGGTTTTGTCTTTTTAAAAAGTTTAAACATTTCACAATTGTTATTTTTTATTGTTTCATTATTGATTTTTCTTATGATTATATTTGATTGTTCAACAATTACACATATCTTACATTTTTTAATGAATAAACATGCACATATATATATATATGTATACAGGTA